CCCCCCCCCGCAGAGCTGAGAACCAGACCCAGGGCCTTGCTAGGCAAGCGCTCTACCACTGAGCTAAATACCCAACCCCATATTTCATAATTTCTGTTGTAGCTCCTGTTTTTCCTCTTAAGCAGAATGCATGTTTTAAGGTACATTTTTGCATTCATGATACTATTTAGTCACTTGGCAAAAAAACTTAAATTTTTTTTTTTCAGTACAGTACAAGGAGGCAACAGGTTAGGTGATGATAGGGTGCTGCCTACACTGCTAGCTATATTTTCTGCATTCCATTGGTGAACGTGGCATTTTTTAGGTTAAAATGTAACCAGCTTTATTAATTTTCAATTTTCACTAACTTATTTTGGCAACTCTTAGATAAAAGAAAGTCCTGTGTAATACAAGTTACATCAAATAAAGTAATAAATGTTTTAGGATTATTAATAAGTATGTGATATGCATGGTTCTATCATCCTTGAATAATTACGTTTGAGACAATTATAGATGAAGTAAAAGCTGTCTCCCTTAGGATTTCACGTTTTTACCTGGGATGTAAAATAGTAGCAATAAAACTTGTCACAAAAAAGTTCCAGTAATATTTGAGGCACTGGTTGGAGTGTTTTATTAGTTCCAGATTTTATCAGCTTAGTCTGCAAAACTTTGTAATGTCAGGGCTGGGGATATAGCTCAGTTGGTTGAGTACTTACCTAACATGAAGCTTAGGGTTTGATCTCCCGCATTGTAATAAAGCAGGTGTGAGGGTTTCTGCCTCTAATCCCAGCATTTGAGAGGCAGAAGTGAGAGTATATCACAAGTTCCAATAACATTCAACTCTATAGCAAGTTTGAGGTCAGCCCGGGATACATGAGACTCTTGTTCCCCCCCACACCCCTCAAAACTGTTAAGAGTTCTAAGTTCTAAACATTTTGGTCTCTGCTTATTTGATGTCTATGCACTGTTTAGTGGTCTCTGATAACTTAGGGGACTGGTGCTTGCTCTGGGCTCACACAGATACTTTCTTCTGTTTTCACCAGGCTGGGCAGCCTTCATGTTGCCTCTCTTGCCTGAAGTTCACTCTTAAGAATCTCCCAGGTTCTCCATCAGGGAATTTTATCATTCACTTTCTCATATATTGATAGAGAAGATTTATGATGAGATTCAATTCTAGCTATTAATCTAATTCTGTTTTGTTGTAGATGCATTCGTGTCAATAAGTTTCAGAGAGTTGATCCAGATGTCCTGAAAGCCTGTGAGAAGAGCTGCATTTTGTACAGTGACCTGGGCTTGCCCAAAGAGCTCACACTCTGGGTGGATCCATGTGAGGTGTGCTGTCGGTGAGTCTTCATGTTTAGCAGCAGAACCAATTTTACCAAACCTCCTCCTGTGTGTCCTGTCTTACTTCTCTACAGCCAGGAGCTGGCAGCCTGGCTTTCTCAGGAGAGATTTATGAAATTACCCTCTGAAGGTGGTGGGAATCTATTTTATACCATGAAGAACTCAGAAAGAGGTTTTCCTGGCACCTTGCCAAGGATTTTACTAACACCAAGAGGTGTAGACCTTAGGCACCTATCACTGTTGCACTCATGTGACTGGCACACCCCTTTCTTCAAGTTGGGAGAAGCTGATTCTAAATAATGTAGGACAGTGACCTGTAGTTGGTCTCCATCGCTGCCTTGTTTCTGTTTTCAGATGCCTTAGTAACATTCTAAAGATTGTATTCCCATAATAGAAATTACTTCTGTCATCTCAAACAACTGTAGAAGGCTGGTAGATGTGAAATCTACTTCAACTTCTAATAAAAACATTATGTAAAGTAGGCACTTGGTGAAGTTTTCAGAAGTTAAAGCAACATTCTTTAGGGAGTTCAAAGGGTAATAAGAGAGAAGAAATTGTAAGCAAATTACAGCATAGTATGATTTGTGCCATATTAGAAACTTCACAAAATACAGTGTTAAGCGGCACAAAGAGAGGAAGACTGCTGAGTGGGTGTTACTTGAGCTGCTATGTGAAGGGTGGATTGCGGGTAACTAGGTGACAGGGCAGGGAAGCTGGTTTTCTCCAGGAAGAAGAATCAACTAGTAGCATGAACTCCCATGGTTTTCCTATGATGGTGCCCATGGGGACTTTCTCTTTATTTTGAAAGTACAATTCTGTTGGCCTCTCCATTGATTATAGTGAAGTTGCTTTTTGATATGAATCTAGCTATATACATAGAGATGGTCACAGCCTTTAACCTCATCTGTAATGAAGATAAGTAATACTGAAAAAATGGATGTGTATCCTAAGTTTTATCAGCAAAACCCCAGTGACTACTGGATATAAGGGTATTGTCTTGGAAAACTGGGGAGGTTACAGGTTCATGAAAGCAGAGCTTTTTCAGCATTGTTTTGTTTGTGGAAAAAGGAAGACTAAGCTTTGTCAAGTTTTGATCAGAGACAGTCAAGACAGTTTTAGATTGTGGGATTGAGTAAGAACTCAGTGTTATTTGGGTTACTTTGGAGACTTTACCCACTGAAATCCTGCTAAAGACCCGAGTTTACACAAAATAAAGAACCATCACAGTGTCACTGAGATGGACAGCCAATCCCTCCTAATCTTGAGTCATTACTGACAACCGCTTAAAGTTGTATCAGCAATAACCTTATCAGATTTATTCCAAGCCTGGTGGTGGTGGCACACGCCTTTAATCTCAGCACTTGGGAGGCAGAGGCAGGCGGATCTCTGAGTTCAAAGTCAGCCTGGTCTTCAGAGCAAGTTCCAGGACAGACCCTAAAGCTACACAGAGAACCCTGTCTCCAAAAAAAAAAAAAAAAAATTATTCCTAATATCAGATGTTACAAACTTTACAGTCTGTGTGTGTGTAACTGGCATAAACCCCATTGTTTGAACTCTCTCAATTGCTTGTGTTATTTCCTTCAGTTTCTTTCCATAAAGACCTATACATTCTTAATGTCAGACATATTTCTTACACAGGATACATTATGTATGGGCTTTGCCTGAATGTATGTCTATGCACCGTGTGTATGCTGGTACCCGAGAAAACCAGAATAGGGCAATGGAACTTTGGAACTGGAGTTACTGATAGTTGTAAGGCTCTATATTGTTGCTGGGAATTGAACCCAGGTCCTCTGGAAAAGCAACAACCTCCTAAGCCCTCTCTTCAGCCCTTACATTTCACTCTCTACTCTGCCCCCGTACCTCCCATATACTACTGGATATACTGCTCCCATCCCCCACCACACACACAAGGTCTCTTTGTGTAGCCCTGGCTGTCTTGGATCTCCCTCTGTAGACCAGGCTGGCCTCAAACTCACAGAGGTCCGAGTGCTGGGGTTAAAGGCAAAGGTATGTGCCACCATGCCCAGCTAGGTAGTTCATCCTTAATAATGCCAGATAATAAAAACCTACTCTTGTTTTATCATATTAGTTTATTTTCAGTACCTCCACCATGCTGGAATTAAAAGCATGAGCCACCATGCCTGGTATGTTGTCGCTTTTTTTAAACAGCTAATACAAATTAGCTTAATATTGTAGTGTATACACCCTGGTAACAAAACCCTTCCAAAGAACATAACAATATGATCTTTGTAAGTTAATAGAGAACACTGAGATAAGGAAATGTGTTTTTGAACCCAAACTGGAAAAATAAATGTTCTGAAAATTAGAACTGTGCTGATGTAGTAGATATATAATTGAAATATATCTGTCTTCAAAAACAGTAACTTGGGACTCAAGAAATAGTTAATAGCATGTACTACTTTTCTAGAGGATTCATTTGGTTCCTAGCACACATGTAAGGTAGCTCAGAACCAACTTAAGCTCCAGAGGATGTGATGTTTCTAGCATTCAAGGGGACCAGCACTCTCTTTGAACATACCCACAAATGTATACATAATTAAAATTAAAAATAAGAAATAACGCATTGGTATACTTGAGGCCAAGGTGCTATAATAAAAATTGAGATGTGTTTAGAGAGAGCATTCTTCCTTGTCATAGAATAACATGGAACTTAGTAGGTTATCACTTGGTGAAATATTTGAAGATACATAATAAAATAGATTTTTTTTTTCCTATGAAGGGAAGTCTAAGAAAGCTGGCAACTTTATCTGTTCAGTATTATTTTACAACTTTAATGTCTACAATCTTTTTCTGTTAAGGAGCATTAGATAAGTATCGATTTGTTTCATAGTAACTAAATTAGCCTTGATATTTTAGCAATACATCATTGAGATGGAAAGTTTAAAAGTTGTCCATTACTAATTCTCATAAGGAGTTAACTGTATATTCTTAATGTTACAATAATGTAGCCAGTAGTTTCATTTAGTAGGAAGCCCTCATTCCAAAATACTACAAAAACAAAGATGTGCAGTTTAATTGGTTATCAGAGAGAGCAGAGTTAGTTAATACAACAGGTCCTTCAGTTATTATATGCATGCCTTTGTAGTAGATTTCTGTTTCTACAGAGGCAGTAATTTATTCTCTGCCTTTCTGGTTTCCCTGAATTTTAACTCTACTAGTGGGGAAAAAAATGAAGATGTGCTTCAGTTTCACATTTTAAGTAAATGTGAAATTATATATACTACATGTATTCTGTGTTATGAGTTACTCACCCAAACTGCTAGGCATTTTAAATTCAGAATTGCTGGATTGAGCTGGAGAGATGGCCCAGAAGTACTACTGGCTTCCTCATCCTCATAGGAAACTAAGGCCCAAAGAGATTTGGTGGGTGCATTGGGTCACACTAGCTTCAAGGCTCATGATTTTTCTGTCTCTGCTTACAAAGTGCTAGGATCAGTGGCCTCTTAAAAAGTTTTTTAAAGGTGATCAGTTGTTCTATAAATCTCAATAACATAATATATTCAAGCAAATCTCCTTTATTATCTTCATCATTTTCCCTTTAATTATAGTAATTGTCAGAAGTCTTTTGTCTGTATGTAAATTTAAAAAACACAGGCCCTAGCAGGGTGGTGATGACATACATCTTTATTCCTAGCAGTCAAATCTCAGTACTCAGGAGGTAGAGACAGGTCAATCTCTGTGAGTTCAAGGCCAGCCTAGTCTACAAAATGAGTTCCAGGACAGCCAGGATTGTTACACAGAGAAACCCTGTCTCGAAAAACAAAAAATAACACCTCCCTACCCACTCTTCCAAAAACCCCACAGGCCCTGTCAAAGTAAATATAGGAAATTTCCAGTTGATTTTGGGCCGTGGCCATTTAGAAATAGATTAGAAAAAAATCTTGCTGTAATAAATTGTCGTTGATACATACAAAACATAATAAAAAGATAGATCCCTTGTGATGTTTCAGGCACTTTTTGTTTGATGTCAGTAGAGAAGAATATAGCCACTTTTATTTATACTTCAATAGACGAGCTATAAGAAAATTACAACCTACTTGTTCTTTGGATATTAAATGTGCACAGTCTAGTTCTGGAATGGTTCCTTTATTGCTGTGGAACAGTGGCATGACCAGACCTGTTTAATTATTTTTACAAACGTTTCTTACTTTTTATATGATTTGTAAGTTTTTTATGTATACCTAGGTATGGAGAGAAAAACAATGCATTCATCGTTGCCAGCTTTGAAAATGAGGATGAGAACAAGGATGAGATTTCCAAGAAAGTTAGCAGGGCTCTTGATAAGGTGACTTCTGATTATCATTCAGGATCCTCCTCTTCAGATGAAGAAACAAGCAAGGAAGTGGAAGTGAAACCGAGTTCAGTGACTGCAACACCAAGCCCCGTGTACCAGGTGACCATGGGACACTTCCTGTTACTGGACATTAGCAGGTTACAGCTACTCCAGCTAGCCACGCTATACTTGCCAGGGATTCTGTTGAGTATTCTGAATCTCAGCTCTTCCCTTTTACACACACACACACACACACACACACACACACACACACACACACACACACAGAGGAAGCTGCTTCTCTGAGATGCAAATTGGCATTCTGAGTCAGTTTATCAAAAGTACTCCCCTCCTCTAGGGCTGGAGATGGCTCCGAGGTTAAGAGCACTGGCAGGTCTTCCAGAGGTCATGCGTTCAATTCCCAGCAGCCACGTGGTGGCTCACAGCCATCTATAATGAGATCTGGTGCCCTCTTCTGGCGTGTAATGCAGACAGAACACTGCATACATAATAAATAAATAAATCATTTAAAAAAAAAAGTACTCCACTCCTCAGTAACTAAAATAAGTATATTTTTAAAAGAAATATGCTGTCCTCCAAAAGAGAATTCATAGTAAATATTTCTGATTATATTAAAAAGTCCTTTTATTTAAAAAAAAATCACCAGTAACTTTTTATATTTTAATATTTCATTTATATATTTAGGTTAATTGTCTTATTCCCTTTTTCCATCATTAAAGATAAATTTTATTTACTGAATTATATTTTGGTTAGTTTTTTATGTAAAAACGAAAAGAAAGTCATCCTTACTGCTCTACCCATGGAAGCATCATATAGCAAATGCATTTACATTACAGATTCATTTACTTTATATCTATATATTTAAAAAATGTTTAATTACTTTCTAGAATTTTGACTAGCAATAGTCTTTTAACAAAAGGAAAACAAGTATTTTCAGTCAGACATTTATATAGATGTTTTGAGGAGCTTTATTCTCTATATGTACTTCTTTATATTTTTAGTATATTTTAAAATGTACCTTCATTTATTAGTCTAAATTAGATGTAACTTAACAGTGTTAGCATAATACAAAAACTTTTACCTAATAAGTCTTTTGAGTATGAAAAACTAAACTTTCAAATTCATATGATATAATGAATATTTCCTGATTGAAATGTAATTTCTTCCTCTCTTGTTTAATTGTCTTTCCTTGGATTGAAAGGAAGGATAAAAAAGATTATCACATATTGGAAGTATATGTCTATACTTTAACACAGGCTTCCTTTCTACAAAACTTTTCTTTTAGGGAAAGGTTTCACTGTGTTAGCTCTAAATGGGCTGGAACCAACTACATAGACCAGACTAATCTAGACTTATCTGCCTCTCTGCCCGCTGGGTGCTAGGATTAAAGAATGTGCCACCACATTGAGCAAAACTGTTTTTAGAAAATAATTTATTAAAACTATAAAAAAAAAAAACTTGCAAATACAAACAGTAAGATATTTAACAGTGCCAGGCGGTGGTGGCGCAGGCCTTTAATTCCAGCACTCGGGAGGCAGAGGCAGGAGGATCTCTGAGTTCGAGGCCAGCCTCATGTACAGAGTGAGATCCAGGGCAGCCAAGACTGTTACACAGAGAAACCCTGTCTTGAAAACAAACAACAGTATAAAATAACAGTAATTTCTTCCCTCCAGTGCCCTGTCCCATGCTCTTCCATGGGGTGCTCACCACCAGGCTTTGCTGTGGTTAGTCTCCTTTGCTTTTGTTTTGTTTGTGGCTGCCTTTCAGATCATTTTTCAAATCATAAATAAATACTGAGCAAAAATTGCATGAATGCCAGAAAGCACATGAAAATGTGTTGTATCGCATTTGTTCTCAATGAAACACAAAACACAATGAAAGCAACTGGGTCTCATAAGGCGTATAAACTGACATTTCTCCTTCTGCTCTACTTGTCAGCATTGTACTCCTTCCTAAGCACTACTAAGAAAATGTAAAAACTGCAGGGGGGTTTAGATGTGCACAGAGGTACAAATACAGAATCTTTTCAAATATGCACAAAATTGGTTCATGCCATTTGTACCATTTGAATTAGATGTTCTACAGAATTTTAACTATTACAGAACATCTCACATTTAGAGGGACAGATTAGAATCAGAATCTGAAATTCATACACTGTAATGTTCTAAGCAAAGAAGTTGAAAACTGCTGATGAGAATTTAAGCAATGTGAACTTGATGTCCCCTACCTGACTTAGAGTATACTCTAAGATTCTTGGGCCCAAGTACTAATAAACAAGCTACAGCAGAATGATCTGAAAAGTGTTGTTGAAATACTTGGCCTCTGTCCCTAAGATTTCATTATTTTGTAGTAGACCTTGGACTGGGGCATGAAAATCTGTGCCTCAAAGTTCCATGAGTGACTGACTCCTTGCTTATTTACTGAAAAAAAAAAAAAAACCTATTGTGTTCTTAGGAGTTGCCATTCATTCTGTGTTTGCATCTTTGACGCTTGAAGATTTTTAATTTAGGTTTTTCTTCATTCAGAAAATATGTGACCTATTATTAATAAGGTGTGGTTTTTCTTTCTTCACATATTTAAACCTAACCAAAGGGATGTCCCTGAGTCCTACTCCTAGATGAGTGATAGTTTGTGTTTTGTCAGCAGCTTGAAACAGTCTTTACCGAAAACGTGGATTATTTTTTCCTTTGAATTTACTCGATGCTTTTTCTTTGCTACAGATTTCAGAACTGATATTCCCACCTCTTCCTATGTGGCACCCATTGCCCAGAAAAAAGCCAGGAATGTACCGAGGGAATGGCCATCAGTCTCACTATCCACCTCCTGTGCCATTTGGTTATCCCAACCCAGGAAGGAAGAATAAAGCCTACCGTCCGATTCCAGTGACCTGGGTACCTCCTCCTGGAATGCACTGTGACCGGAATCACTGGATTAATCCTCACATGTTAGCACCTCACTAGTTCCTTTTGATTGTGGTGATGTCATGTTGAAAGAAAGGAAGAATATACCTTAAGATATACTAAAAGTTCATACTGGTAGTGAAGTTAGATGGACCAAACCATCAAACTTATTTTTATAGAAAAGTTACTGAGAATAATCTTTCTTAAAAAAGTATATATATGCACTTTAGATACATTGAAATAGTTTGAGAAACTTTATTAAAGTTAGTCAAGTGCCTGAGTTTTTACTATTGGACTTAAGTATTTATATATTGTGCATTGACTCTGTTGGATACAAAAACACTGTAGGAGTGGGCGATGTGTTCTAGCACCTTTGAGCATTTACTTTATGGAGAGTATGTAAGTTATTTATACACAGGAAATCTATTTTATGTCATTATTTAGAAGAATTGCGTGAAATCATGTAGTTGCAAATAAAAAGTAGTTTGAGGCATGACAATGTGTGGTTTTGTTCTGTACATAAGAAAAGGAGAAGGCAGAAGAGATACTTAGGAAAGAAAATAATCTAAAATGTTTCTTTAAAAAAACAATTTTTATTGAACATATGTTCCCCAAAGGCCACATATCAAAATATACATGTAAAAAAAACTATATTTACTGGCAGTAGCTAGTTGAAAATATAAATATAATAAAATAACTATCAAAGTCAAATACATGGGACCTTTGTCACCAGGATTTTGGCCCATAATAACATTATAGGACATCTGACTTATATGCCTTATACCATTAGAGAAAGCAGAAATGTTCTGGTAGCCATTCTTAACCACTGTGTAAACTAGGTATGGTGGCAAGCACATGTAATCCCACAACTTGAGAGGTTGAGGCAGAAGGAGCAGGATGTCAGGGCTTATTTAGCTACACATCAAATTTGATGCCAGCCTGGGCAAGATAAGACCTAATCTCAAAAACTAAACACAAGGTGGGGGAATGTGTTGTGCTTTAGTCTTTACTAGAGTTCTAAAGTAAAAAGGTATGGTACTGCAGATTCTTCAGTAGTCCTTCGTATTTATACCACTGTAATCCCATCGGTCTGGTAAGTGTACTTGAACTACAGAGAAAAAAAGAAAGAAAAACCATCTATGAGTTTGGGAATTCTAAAGATTTAAACTTAACAAAACTAAGATCAGCAATACTTTGACCATCGCTCTGACCTTTAAATTTTTACTCTGAAATTATTCAACGTAACCAAGAGTGACCACAAACAACTTCCTAGTAACTGATTAAAAGGCTTTGACTATTCCAAACATTCCTGTTGTCAGGCCCCTTTATTTCATTTAGTTGGTTTTGGTTTTTTTGAGATACGGTCCCGACTTAGCTCTAGCTGTCTTGGAACTCACTGTGTAGACTAGGCTTGCCTGAAATCTACATATCTGCCTGCCTCTGCTTCCTGAGTGTTGGGATTAAAGGTGTTTGCCACCATGCCCAGCTCTGTTGCCAACTTTTTAAATTACTATTTAAGTACAGAAAATAGAATGAAGTTAAAACCCAGTGGTGTGAAATAGGAAGTCGTTTTAATACTGCAGTTTACTGTGTTTGCAACTTCATCCGGAACCATATTTTAATCAGCAGGGACTCCTCGTTTTAATGTCACTGCGTTCTGACTTGTAAGCCATAACAATTTTAGCATATTTCTAAATCACAATATCAACTTTACCCCTGAGTATTTTCCTGCTGGTAATTGGCATCACAAGGAAGATTAGTTTTAAAATGAGGAGGCGAAATAAAAGAAACGGTGTATTTTGAACTAGGAGCCTTGTTAGTTTCCCTGATTGTCTCCCAATTGCTGATCTCAAATGATCTCCCCTAGTGCTGGGACTTCAGGCATGTATCACCATGCCCCACTGAAAAATAAGCTTAACTGCTAAGGCCATTGTGCTGTTGTGAGTACTGGAGGCTTTTATGGAGATAATGACAGATTTATGGGCAGTTCGAAAGTTTAGAATAGTTCTGTAAGGAAAGACAGCATTTGTTCTGTTAGTTTGCTTATATTGCAGGTATATACACTTGTTGGGAAATTTGAAGTATAGTAGCCACTCAGGAAGAGAAGCATTAATATTATCACTCACCAAGTTGACTCTTTGCACAGTACTGCAAAATATAAATCTATAGTCAGCCAGATGGCTCAGTGGGTAAAGGCCCTTGCCACCAAGCCAGGTGACATGTCTCTAGGATCCACATGGTGGTAGGAGAGAGCCAACTCCAACAAGTCTTTTGACTTCACATGAATGCTGTGGCACCTGTGCGTGCATGTGCATACCCAGAACACATAAATATGATAGACATGAATCCTTAACTAGCTCTGGCAACTATGAGATGATGCTTGGGGAAAGCCAATATTTAGACTGATTTGTTTATATTTTATGTGAATGGGTCTTTTGTCTGCAAGAATGTCTGTGCCTGTGAGCCATGCCTGGGAAAACCACAAGAGGGCATCAGATCCTCTGAAACTGGAGTTAACAAATGGTTCTTAACCACCCTGTGCATGTTCTAGAAATCAAACCTGGGTTGTCTGCAGGAGCAGCAAGTGCTGTTAACCACTAAGCCATCTCCCCAGCCCTGGGAAAGCTGACTGTTAATTCATCTGCATTTTAGATAGTTTTTTGTATAAGACGACCTTTATTCACTACTCTACCTTGCTTTAGAGTTTAAGTTTATGTAATAGTAAAGCTTTCAACAGTAAAGCTTTTCCAGTCCGTAACTATTGAAAACAGATCACTCAGCAGTTGGCTCTTAAGTTCTGGTAGGCATGGGTACTCCTTAGTGCAAACTAAGACCAAGTCAATGTTTCCCTTCCAGGACTGGACTGAAGGAAGACTGGCAGCAACTGCATCATTTCAGCTTCAAAGCTTTACTAGTTTCAAGCATGAGTTGCTTGTGAATGAGTAATGATAATTGGTTTTAATTTCCCATTTTGTATTTGTAGGTATAACAGCAAAGCTCTAAATTTTAGAGGTTAAAGTTGGACATGGATGTGTGAAAAATATAAGTTCTTTGGTAAGTTCTATATCATTAATGAAGTGCTTAAGTACTTTTTTGGGGTGTTTTGTTTTCTTTTGTTTTTGGGACAGGTTTTCTCTATGTAACCTTGGCTGTCACAGAGTTTGACCTGTAGAGCAGGCAGGCCTCGAACTCAGAGATCTGCCTGACTACCTCCTGAGTACTGGGATTAAAGGCATGTGCTGCCACCACTACCACCACTTAGCTGTGGACATTATAATCTTAATCTAAGATAGAGCATTTATGGTGACTTCTAAGCCGTCAGCTTTGTGATCATTTGTTTAATCCTCATAATCATCTCAAGATTTGTGCCATTTTTATTTCAGTTAAATAAGGACTCAGAGAAGTGAAAGATGTCCAGGATGACAGCAAGCTAATTAACTTAAGCCTCAACTTAAAAACAAACAGGACTTAAGGCTTGTGCTCCATGGTGCCTCAACACCACATACAGTTTGTTACCTATATAAAGTCTATGGATTCTTGGAACTTGTGAGGTCAGGTATTGGACCAAGACTTGACAGAGAAATCTTAGGCAGAGATTATGTTAAATGAAACTTAATACAAGACATTAGAATTTCTATATTAACCACGAAGTCTTAATTCCTTGTTACAAACTGTTCAGTTGTATCCGAGGAGGGGAACTAAAAACGTGACAGCAGTTTTGTTTGAACTACAAATCAAACTTAAGTAGCAGTATGGCCAAAAGGACAAGAAAACTACTGGCCAGGGAGAAAGATCACACATAAGAGAAATAATAGTAGCAGTGCCCAAGATGAGCAGTCTTCTGCCTTTTTCTTAATTATCAGTTTTTGGGTAACTTAATCTGGAACAAAATGTTAACGTTAGTTTTGCCAATTTTTTCCCATATATTTTCTGGAATTAGACTGTGGTTAGTGAAACATTTACATGAATGCTCCTGTGTAAAATGTGTACACTCTAAACACTGCAGAAATTGCTACCTACTTCCCAGTGTATAAAAAGGCCATCTTCAATGTAGGACCAAAATAAAAACATTTAATAGTTATCAAAAGCATGAGAACTTATAGCAGATGTCACTCTTATTAGTGTAGTTTGATGTTTATTGCATAAAAACAATTTATACAAAAATCTTGTTTCTACCCTAAAAATGGAATAGCTACAGAAAGAACTTTCATAAAGTTATGAACTTAAGAATTTTGTAGGACTTGAAAACACCATTCGGATTTACACACATCAGTAGAGATCATAAAATGTAAACTAGTGAGATGTATGATGAAAAGCATCTCTGCTACATTAGCTGGCTCATGTAGCACTTCTGTAGTGCTGAGGCCAGTAAGTGTATCAGCTTCACTAGTAACTACGTTTGAAAGATTTATTTAGGCAGTCAGGATTAATATCCCCATTACTGTGTAAACACTGTACAATGTGTCCATGCATTGGAATATCCCATAGTACCCTGCAAATAAACATGACTGATATATCAGATAAAAAATAAATATGATTTAAAAGGTAATATCCCTTGTTATTGAGAACATGTGGATAAGTAGAGATGTAAAGAAATATAACCTTTTGTAAGGCAGTTACAGTTTTGAACTATAGATCTTTTTACCTAGCAATTGTACTTTGAGAAATGTATCTACAAAAGTACTTAAATAGAGGGACTATCATTTATGTAAAAGTGTTCAGTGTAATGTATTTTTGGGTAATGAAGAAGCCAGCCACAGTCAATGAGCAATTAACTAAAGTTTAAAACATGTATTCTAGGGCTAGAGAGATGGCTCAGTGGTTAACAACACTGGCTGTTCTTCCAGAGGTCCTGAGTTCAATTCCCAGCAACCACATGGTGGCTCACAACCATCTGTAATGAGATCTGGTGCCCTCTTCTGTCCTGCAGGGATACATGCAGACATTACACTGAATATATAATAAATAAATATATATAATATATATATTTAAAAAATGTATTCTAGGTAATATGGAAAATGCTATGTGGCTATGGGAAAAAAGAGTAGATGAGTTTATAATGGCATAAAACATTAGAGGTGAGAACATGAAAATATCCTATCTACAATGGTGTCTGTATTGTCTGAAAAAAAAAACAGTTTTGACAGTATATTCAGAGGAAGGAGAAAGAGCTAAGTACAGACCATTTTATTTTTCTACTCTGCTTATTTCTTTGGATTTTTCTGGTGAGCATTATTTCTCTAGTTTTTTTAACTAGCTTGCTTTTTTAATTAATTTTATTTTTAAGGGCTAATGTAATATGATAATATGATAAAACAAAAACTAACACGGAGTTGGACAAGATAAAGAGAAGGAAAGAGAGAGCGAAAGGAAGTACAAGAGTCAGAGACCCACTCTTTGGCACACTCAGAAATCCCATAAAACATTGAACTGGAAGCCACAATTCCATAATTCTTTAACTGGAGAGGTCAAAACAATTTGTTAAAACACTTAAGT